CCATAAGTAGCCTCCATAACTTGGCTATTATGAAGAGTGCTGCAACAAACATGGGGGTGCAGGTGCCTTTAGAATAGCCTGAGTTTCATTCCTTTGGGTATATCCCTAGGATTTGTATTGCTGGATCACACGGGAGATCTATGTTTAGTTTTTTAAGAAGCCTCCATATTGTTTCCAAAGTGGTTGTACTAGCTTACATTCCCCACCAGCAGTGTATGAGGTTTTCTTTTTCTCTGCACCCTTGCCAACATTTGTTGTGGACGGTGTTTTTGATGATACCTACTGAACAGGAGTGAGGTGGAATCTTGTAGTGTGGTTTTGATTTGCATTTCCTTTATGGCCAGGGATGGTGAGCATTTTTTCATGTGTTTTTTGGCCATTTGGATTTCATTCTTTGAAAATATTCTGTTTTGTTCAGTTGCCCACTTCCTTATTGGTTCATTGATTTGGGGCAGTTTACTTTTTTGAGCTCCCTGTATATTCTGGTTATCAGTCCTTTGTCTGATATATAGCCAGTGAATATTTTCTCCCACTCTGTGGGTGGCCTCTTCAGCTTAGAGATCATTTCTTTTGTTGTGAAGAAGCTTTTTAATTTCATGTAGTCCCATTTGTCCATCCTTTCTCTTAGTTGCTGGGCTGCTGGAGTTCTACTGAGGAATTCTTTGCCTGTACCTATTACTTCAAGGTTATTTCCTGGTCTTTCCTGTACTAACTTCAGAGTTTTTGGACAGACATTAAGGTCCTTAATCTGTTTTGAGTTGATACTAGTACAGGGTGACAGGCATGGATCTAGTTTCAGTTTTCTGCAGGCAGATAACCACTTTTCCCAGCAACATTTGTTGAAGAGGCTGTATATTCTCCATCATATGATTTTGGCACCTTTGTCAAAAAGAAGGTGTGCATAGCTGTGTGGATCCATGTCCTGGTCTTCTGTTCTGTTCCACTGGTCTTAATATCCATTTTGTGACAGTACCATGCTGTTTTTATTGCTATGGCTGTGTAATGTAGTTTGACATCGGGCATTGTGATATCTCCAGCATTGCTCTTTTTGCTGAACACTGCCTTGGCTATTCGCAATCTCCTGTGTTTCCAAATGTACTTTCAGGTAGATTTTTCCATCTCTGTGATAAAAGTCATTGAGATTGTGATGGGGATTGCCTTGAATATATAGATTGTTTTTGGTAGTATAGCCATTTTTACTATGTTAATTCTACCAATCCATGAGCACAGGAGATCTTTCCACCTTTTGTAGCCTTCCTGAATTTCTTTCTTTAGAGGATTTCCCTGTAGAGGTCATTGACATACTTTGTTAAGTTTACTCCTAGGTATTTGATTTTTTTGAGGCTATTGTAAATGGAATTGTTTTCATATATTGTTCTAAATTTGTTTGTTGTTGTTGTACAGAAATGCTATTGATTTTTGTAATTGATTTTGCATACTGCTACATTACTGAAGCTGTTTATGGTGTCTAGGAGTTTTTGGGTAGAGTTTTTTGGGTCTTGGAGATATACGATCATGTCATCTGCAAATAGGGATATTTTGACAGTTTCTTTACCTGTTTGTATTCCTTTTATTACATCTTCTTGCCTTATTGCTCTGGCTAGGAATTTCAGGACTACGTTGAATAGGAGTGGGGAGAGTGGCACTCTTGTCTCATTCCTGATTTTAGAGGAAATGGTTTCAATTTTTCTCCAATAAGAATAATTTTGGCCATAGATTTGTCATATATAGCATTTATAATGTTGAGGCACATTCCTTCTATTCATGGTTTTCTTAAAGCTTTTATCATGAAGTGGTAGAGTGTCCTAGGGTGGAAGTTATTTTCACTCAGTGCTTGAAATACCTCACTCCTTGCCCTTCTAGATTTTAAGGTTTCCATTGAAAATCTGCTGTGATTTTGATTGGTTTACCTTTATATGTTGTTTTTTTTTCTCTCTCAAAGCCTTCAGTATTATTTTTCTGTTCTCTGTGCTTGTTGTCGTAATGATAATATGCCATAGGGAGGTTCTATTTTGGTCAATTCTCAATCACAAGTAGTTAAACTAAAAGCTCAAGTACAGATCCCAGGCTTGGCCACCACTCACATGTAAGTTCCTTGCAGGACCACTTGGGAGAACCTGTCTAAAAAACCACGCTGAACCTAACTGTCCAAACCCCAGGAAGAGGCTGTGCTTAAGCACCATGAGAACATCCCCAAACCTGTCAGGTTCAGAGGGGCACCACCAATTGTCAAACAACCCAGTATGTAAACATTTAGTAGAAGCAGGAACATATGGAAAGCAACTATGAGAAGGGAAAGCCCATGGATTAGGAATCAGAGGGAAGTGCCCAAATGTTTACTCATTCAACTCAGAGAAAACCCAATCCTCCTCATAAAGAGGAAGAAATTATATATTTAAATATATATGCACATATACATAACTTTTTATTTTAAATTTGTTTTTAAAGTTTTCTCTTTTTTGTTATTTATGTCCTTTTTCCATCCCTTTGAAATTTTAACGTGCTTAGTCTTCCCTTGTTCCACTTTTCTATTCTCTGATTTTTTTCTCTTTACTTGTCATCTCTTTTCCTTACTTCTCCTTATCATACTCTCCTCCCTATTATCCCTGCGACATTGTCTCCTTATCTCCTGCAAACTAACCCCTCTCTTTCACACACAATTTTGCAGCACAGTTTGCAATTTGTAATCTATGGAATCAGTGTAATTGTCTACTAACTAATGAAAGATTAAATTTATCTATGTGCACTATGGGCTATTATTCTGCCACAAAGAAGAATATAATTATATTATTTGTAGAAAGATGTATGTAATTGTAGATGATCAAGTTAAGAAAAATAAGCCAGACTCAGAAAGACAAATATTACATGTTTTCTCACACAGGTGGAATCTACCAATAAAGAATTATATGAATGTTAAAGAGCATGTCTTTGGTGAGGAATCAGAGGACTTAGTATGGCAAAAGCAAAGAATGATGGCTGTGAATAAGATTGAAGTATATTTTATCCATGTATGGGGTTAGAATATTTGATCCATAAACTATTGTAACAAAAGAAAGAGATGGGGCAGGGAGTTATGTAAGAGTAATGAAGGTTGCAATATAATCACACTATATTTTATGCAATTATGGTAATATAAAAATGAAATCTCTTTGTACAATTAACATGTGCTAATATAAGTAGGCATAGAAAAAAACAGGCCTTCCCATTTTTGGTAAGATACTAAATATTTGTATACTTTTTTAAAAGAAAAAGGACATGAAATAAAACAATCTACACAGAATGCTTTGTTCAGTAGCAGAAACTTAGACATTCCTCAAGAAAATTCCTGACCATTTTGTAACTGTCATCCTCCTCCTTATTCTCATCATTATTTTTATAAAACTGTGAACTGTTAGGAAATCCTTAGAAGGATACATTTTCTGTTATGATAAATGAGATATCTATGAGAAAAAGAATCAGTGTTAATGATAAGAAATTTGGAATAAGATTAACGTTAACCCCACTACAACCAAGAACATAAGCTACATAGTCCTCCTAAATGATGTTGTTTTAATTGATATTCTCTTATGTGGTTACTTAGTGTCATGAAGAGGAATAAATGCTTCTAAAACTATTTCCCCCCATCTGTGCCCACTGAGCTTACTGCAATATGCTACATCTCTGCTAAACCATGACAAAGGAGAGACGATTAAAAGAATTTCCCATGCTAGGTAACCAATGAAGGCTTAGGCTTGTTCTTCCAGATAGATTAGAACTAAATGTCAGTTTGAAGCCTCTTCATGCAAACAGAGATGACAGTACACCTCTGGAACCAACAATAATGAAGATAATTAACTGAATGGCTGGAATGACAGGATGATTATTTACTATAATATTACCTTGAAGACTCCAGGCAAAGACTTAATAATTAACCAAATCAGTCAATTTTCTTGGTCTTTTTCTCTAAAGATATTGTAACATTGCTGTAGGAAAAAGAAGAAAAAAGTATGTCAAAATAGATTTCACACTCTTGGTCTTACAAAGCGAAGTTGTGTGTACTGATCAATTTGTATCTTTGTATTCACTTTTTTAATTGTCTGACCACAATTTTGTTGCATTTATATTGGGTTAAATACACATCACAAAAACTTACAATTTTAAAATAACCACGTTAATGATCTTGTAACATGTATTACATTTACATTCTTGTAAATAAAATGGTAACATACCTCTCCAGAAACTTTTTGTTTTTCCAAATGATAATTTATCATCATTAAATGATTTTTGATTCATTCCCTCACCCATTTTTGCTATTAAAATGACCACAGTTTTGCTATAAAAATCATAAGAAATTAACAACATGAAATTACAAAAAGTGATATGATGAAATAGGTCAGATTTACAACTTTTGGAGGAAAGTTTTATTGATTTTTTTGAAGTCATATTCCTAGTTGGTTCCATGGGTCCTAATAATAGGTTGTTCTGCTGTCAATACTCTTAAGTGAACTTTAAGTAAATTTGTTTCTCAGGCTGTATAGTAAAACATTTAGCATACTATATAACTTTGTTTATCTAGATGCCAGGACATTTTCTGGCAGAAATGTGTGATACAGTTGACCGAAGGTACACTCCCATACTTCTTGATAAGCATAGTACTGACAGGAGTGATTTTCAGATGGAAAAAAATTGTACCTACACCTGGTGATAGGTTTTTCTGAATGGAGAGGAATGTTTTCTTTTTAGGAGAAAAGGACCACAAAGGTAGAAGAAGAAAATAAATTGGAAGTAACATAATTTACTATTAGATAAGATGTGAACATTGCCTAAATTAGTCCACATTCTTGGCTCAAGTCTATAAGTATGTTCTAACTTTGATGGAGTTAGAAGACTACAAAACAAATGTCTACAGATACTTGAGATTCTACAGAAGTGAACTCGTATGTATTAGTAACTACTTACATTTCAAAATATTTTTTAAATCTCCATTTTAACATAGGAAATATTGATCACAAATAACTTACCATTCTGACCACAGAAGGACCAAGTTGAATAATGTATACTACATTCATGTTGTTCTGAAAAGAATGTCAACATAAATTTTCAGAAACTTTTCAATCTGTACTTCCTAAATTATGCTATTCTCTGATGGATCATGGTTAAGAAGTACAGATCCAAAGACCTAAAAGGCCTTAAATCCAGAACAGTCATCTCAGTGTGGTGTGAAAAGTGTGGAAATGGATTACATTAGCTCTCCTTGCATTTGGTTAATAACAGAAGTTTTGTTATATTTTCTCTGTTGTTTCTATGGTGTGTTGTTCCATAGTAGGTTTTCAGGTCATTCTTATCTGTCACAGATAAGACCTTATTGTCAGCTATGTGCATAGGCTCATATGTGGTATGCTTTATACTGATTTATCTACCTTAGTTGTTGGTGGATTAATTATTTTTTGGCTTAAGGTAAATTTCTGTTTACTAGATTGTGGTTGTATCTCAGCAGTAAAGCATGCACCATACATTTTCAAACTGCTGGGCTCAAGTTCCAGCACAACTTTAAAAAGACAAATCAATAAACATTATCATCAGCAATTTAAAAGCATACCACATAAGGAAACACAATACCAGTGTGTAAAATACCAATGGCCATGCAGAGGACAGGGCAGAAATAAACAAAATTGGTAAACATTAGTAAAAATTAAGTTGTTATTACAAAAGAAAAAAGAAAATGGGAAAGAACACATACAAGGTAATTATTTAAATAATAAATATACTTATCCAAATACACTGAAAAGCTATTGAGGGTAAAAGAAAATAAAACAAAACAAAAAGATGTGAAAAATTCTCAAGTATATTAAGTGAAACTACTTCCCAGAGGTAAGATTTAAGTTTCTTCTAGTTACCATGGTTGTAGTGTATCAATGTTAGTTGGGTTACTTTTGATTTCCAGGAAAACAGGCCTCAAAAACAATTGCACTATGACAGTTGAATCTATTCTCACACTGCCTGTTCACAGGAGCTAAGACACTGTCTGATACAGGGCTTTATTTAGTAGAATATGACAAATTGTCAGAAAGATGTGTCCAGTAACTCAGAGATTCACCACAGCCCCTTTTATAGATAAAGCAGGTGAAATTCCCCTCACTCTGGAAATACTCTCTCAATACCTATGATTCTGGCAAATTTCCTAGGGTGCCAGTACATCCTTTGACTGATTCTGGAACTCTCAGCATGAAAGTGACAAGGCCAATGCAATCTTTCCTGTGACTAAGCTCCAGCTACTGAGGTTTCTAGCAACCTCTGCCAGGGTACATTCAGGCTCTATCTTCAAGAGAACCCTCAGGCAGATGGTCTTGGTCATCCCTGGTCATCTTTGCGGTAGTTAAGCTACCAGTTTTTAAAAAAAATTTATTATTCATTTATTCATATGTGCATACATTGTTTGGGTCATTTCTCTCCCCTGCCCTCCTCCCCCACCCTGTCCCCCTTCCCCGCCTCACTTCTAGGCACTACCTGTTCTGCTCTTATCTCTAATTATGTTGAAGATAAGACATAAGCATAATAAGGAAGACAAAGCATTTTTGCTAGTTGAATTAAGGATAGCTACACAGAGAGATTTCTAGCTTTGCTTTCATGTACAAATGTGTTACAACACAAATAGATTCATCTCTAACTGATCTTTACGCTGGTTCCTGATCCCCTTCTCATGTTAACCTCTGTTGCTGTAAGGATTCTGTATTAGTTCCTCTGGAGTGGGGACATCAAATGTTTTCCTGTTTTGGCTTTTCTACTTATTCCTCTATCTTCCATATGTGCTCTCCCCTTGTCATGTGATCTAAGTCCAACCACATAGCTGCATTTGCCCTAACTCTAAAGTCTGCATATGAGAGCAAAATAGAATTTTTGGTCTTGTGAACCTGGCTAACCTCGCTCAGAATGATATTCTCCAGTTCCATCCATTTACCTTCAAATGATAAGATTTCATTCTTCTTTATGGCTGAGTAAAATTCCATTGTGTATAAACACCACATTTTCTTGATTCATTCATCAGTAGTGGGGCATCTTGGTTGTTTCCTTAATTTGACTACTGTGAATAGCACTGCAATAAACATGGGTGTGCAGGTGCCTCTGGAGTAATGTGTCATATTCTTTGGGTATATCCCCAGGAGTGGAATTGCTGGATTATATGGCAGGTCTATGTTTAGATTTTTAAGAATTCTCCAAATTTTCTTCCAGAGTAGTTGAACCAGCTTGTGTTCCCCCCAGCAATGGACTAGGGTTCCTTTTTCCCCACATCCTTGCCAACACATGTTGTTGGTGGAGTTTTTGATGATGGCTATTCTAACAGGGGAGAGGTGGAATCTTAGTATGGTTTTGATTTGCATTTTCTTTATGGCTAGAGATGGTGAGCATTTTTTCATGTGCTTTTTGGCCATTTGAATTTCTTCTTTGGAGAAAGTTCTATTTAGTTCAGTTGCCCATTTCTTAATTGGTTCATTGATTTTAGGAGAGTTTAGTTTCTTAAGATCCCTGTATATTCTGGCAATCTGTTACTTGTCTGATGTATAGCTGTATTTTCTCCCACTGTGTGGATGACCTTTTCATTTTAGAGACCATTTCTTTTGTTGGGTAGAAGCTTTTTAAATTTATGAAGCTCCATTTGTCCATCCTTTCTCTTAGTTGCTGGGCTGCTAGGGTTCTATTGAGGAAGTCCTTGCCTACACCTGTTACTTCCAGAGTGTTTCCTGCTCCTTCCTATACTAACTTCAGAGTTTCAGGTCTGATATTAAGGTTCTTGATCCATTTTGACTTGCTACTCCTACAAGGTGATAGACATGGTTCTAGGTTCAGTTTCTTGTGGACAGATAACCACTTTTCCCAGCAACATTTGTTGAAGAGGCTGTCTTTTCTCCATCATATATTTTTGGCACCTTTGTCAAAAATGAGGTGGGTATAGTTTTGTGGATTCATTTCTGGGTCCTCTATTCTGTTCCACTGGCATTCATGTCTGTTTTAGTGCCAGTATCTTGCTGTTTTTATTGCTATTGCGTTGTAATATAATTTGAAGTCAGGTATCGTGATACTTCCAGCATTGCTCTTTTTACTGAGTATTGCCTTGACTATTTGTGGTCTCTTGTGCTTCCAAATGAACTTTAGGGTAAATTTTTCAATCTCTGATGAATGTCTTTGGAATTTTGATGGGAATTTCATTAAACATGTAGATTGCTTTTGGTAGTATAGCCATTTTTACTGTGTTGATTCTACCAATTCACGAGCATGGGAGATCTTTCCATTTTCTGTACTCTTCATCAATCTGTTTTCTACTTCCTTCAGCACTGAAGAATGTACTAGGCAGAACATAGATTTCTCTTACACACATATCAAAATTGAAATCCCATCCTTGGATCTGAACTCTTGAGTTACTGCACTCTGAGCCAGTGAAAAGAAGAGGACATTGGAATGTGGGGATGTAAAATTGAAGGGTTTGGAGCACATATCCAGAAGTGTGTAAATCAATGTATAAGAGAGAAACCTATTCATTCATGTGTTTTTAAGCTCTATTCACAAGAGCCAAAATATGTGATCAATTCAGGTACCCGATAACCAATAAATGGGTAAAGAAAATATGGTAATCACATTTGTACCATGAAATATTACTCAGCCATAGGAAAAATGTAATTATGTCATTTGCAGGGAAATGGATAGAAATATAGACATGTTCAACACGATAAATAAAATTCAAAATCCAAGTTTCAGAAGTTCTTACCTATTTGTGGACCTAAATATGAAATGATGATGATGATGATGATGATGATAGTGTGACATGAATGTAAAACAGGACAGTTTGTGGAAAGGAAGTTGGGGTGTGAAGAAAATTGAAGTGTGCTACAGACAGACAGACAGACACACACACACACACACACACACACACACACATACACAGGAAAACATCATAATGAAACCAAACACTGTTTGAAAAAGTGGGGAATTGGGAAGTTGTCATGGAAATATAATGGAGGGGGTGAACTTCTTAACTTGCTCAATTAACACTTCACAAATATATGGAATTATTGCAATGATACCCATTCATATTATGAAAGCATGCTCATAAGTAAAATAAAATAAAATTTAAAAAATGAAGGACTCAAGAAGTAAACTCAGATGATAGGACCATTATTACATTTGTCCTCAATTATTCTCCATGTAAAGAAATGCAAGGAACCATATTTATAGGGATAGCTCTCCGTGTGAACCACTGGTCACCTGTCTGTTTAGATAATATGTCCCTTTGGTGCTTGATTGTGTGTTTGAGGATATTATGAGGGCTTTGTTCTTTTATATATGGCTCCAATGTGGGTTGAGTGGAACTCCCCCATCTTCTGTTGTGCTGCTTAGCACATGGTGTTAGGGATTGCTGAATGCTTTGCAATACAAAAATCCAGTATTTTTGTGTTTCAAATGGCCATTGACCAGCATTACAGCTATTTGCCCCATCACCCAAGCTCCCTATCTATTTTTTACATACAATACCTTGTAAAGTGCCTTCTGTATGGGCTCATCATATTACAATAACTGCAATTCTCCTTCTCATGATGGAGTCCACTGTATTGTTTATGAAACAATGTTACATAGCTAAACCAAGGCACACCCTATGGCCTGTTCCATAAAATATGCAAATAACTCATAGGTAAGACACATTGGTGGAGAAGGATTTATATTTCATATTTTATGCTGGGTTTATCAGAGTGGAAAAATATAAATATTGTAAGAGGACAGAATTGTAGTAGAAGTCCCAGGTAATATGTGGGTGCACAACAATTGTTTGACAAGTATTCACAGTTGTAGTTCAACAAATTCAGTATCATATTTCACTTGTGCAAACTAGTTTTTTTCTTTAAATGGAAACTTTTACTGCTTTTTGTGAACTCTCAATTTCTTCCCCCTTCAAATGCTAGGTGGCATTATTCAAAGACACATTGTGAGTGATAAAGCATCAAAATTACAAACACACTGTGAACAAACAGGCAAGAACTACACATGTAAATTTTAAATTTTATTAATTTTGTCAAATTGCTTGCCAAATAAACACAACCAGAGCTGATATCAGATTACCCTGCTGTAGAGCTGACTAATGACACTTTTAATATCCTTGTTCCTCAGGCTGTAGATGAAAGGATTCAGCATAGGAATGACCACTGTGTACATCACTGAGGCCACTGAATTATTTCTGTGAGAATGTGGTCCAACTGAACCAACATATACTCCAAGGTAAGTTCCATAAAACAGACCAACAACTGACAAGTGAGACCCACAGATGGAAAAGGCTTTATACATCCCACCTAATGATGGGATTCTTAAAATGGAGGAAATAATTTTGTAGTATGAGAAAAGGACTCCTGAGAGGGGTAATAAACCATATATGATGCCAACAAAATACATGAACATGTTATTGGAAAAGGTGTTTGAACAAGAAAGACTAAGGATTTGAGTAGGATCACAATAGAAATTGGAAATTTCTACATCTTTAAGTTTGGTAATTTGTATTGCAATCAAATTGTGCATCAGGGCTTCCAAAATACTGACTGAAAGTGATGTCAAAACTAAGAAAACACAAAGGTGAGGGTTCATAATGACTGAATAATGTAGATGGTGACATATGGCCATATACTGGTCGTAGGCCATCACGTTCGGAAGCATATCTTCCATACATACAAAAATCAGATAAAAAGACATCTGTGTCAGGCAGCCCACATAGGAGATTACTCCATTCTGAGTTAGAATATCCACAATCATCTTGGGGACAGTAGTTGAGATTGAACTGACATTAGCCAATGACAGATTGGAGAGGAAGAAGTACATTGGAATATGGAGATGGGAATCAGAGCTGACAGCCAGAATCATGAGCAGATTCCCAAGTAGTGTCAAAGGTACATGGACAAAAATAGTCCAAAAAGGGCAGGCTGCTGTTCTGGGTCATCTAAGAGTCCAATGAGATGGAATTCTGAGGTATTTGTTAGATTTTCTTCTTCTAAGTTGGAAGGACACCTATGAAATAGAAAAGTGAATGATAAATGTGAAACACATAGCCAGGGACAAAGTCCTCTGTCTCATTATTTCTCCCAGGCTCTTATCAATCATCTGGATTATGGGGATCATCTTCCCGAAGAAATTTGGGTTGCACATGAGCACAATGTTGCTGTATTTATATACATTTAATTGAATTTTCACAAGTTGAATTCCATACACCTTCACCAATATTTCACATCAGAGAAACAGAATCTTCATAGCTTCTTTTCCTAATTGTTTTGGATTATTCTATATACACCTACTTGGGACTCTGTATGAACAGTATTATAAAATCAAAAATATTAGAGAAAACAAATTCATGTTTACTGTTAAACAGCCTAATCATCAGAGATGAAAGGATATGAAATATCATTCTCATAAGAATAAAAGTAACTCTCTCAAAGAAAAATAATGATGCAAACAAAGACAATGGTGCAAATTCCTTTGAAGTACAATGTGCTTTGAACACATTAGGAGCCAGAACTACAAAACCTGAGAGTAAATTAAAACCTAGAGTTTATAATTGGATCCTATTTTCTACTCATATTTCAACCAAGCATCCATCATTCCTAAGACTATTTCCCTCTTTCAAGATTTTAACTACTCAATGAAATACTATCTATCTTTTAAAACTTTTTCAGCAGTCTGCTTCCAGTAGCTCACACCTGTCATCTTAGCTACTTTGGAGGCAGAGATCAGGAGGGTCCAGTTCAAAGCAAGCCCAGGCAAATAATTCAAAAGAGCCTATATTGAAAACACCAAATACAAAAAAGTGCTGGCAGAGTGTTTCAAGTGTTAGAGTGGTTGCATTGCATGCATGAGTTCCTGAGTTCAAACCTTAGTACTGCAAAAAACAGCAACAAAAAAACCATAACTTCACTCAGCATATTACTCCAGTGCTTGTTTTAAAAAACTACAATTTGAGAATTATGGTTCAGTTAAGTAAACAAAATCAATGATATCAGGTCAGATATATGTCATTAGTGCATATTAATGAAACACATTTAAATTTTTATGAAATTTTACCAACTCTATAAAAAATCTCTGATGGACAAAACAACTCTGCTTAACTACAGTTAATGCTAACAGTGCTTCATTGTTTCTCTAATTGTAAGCACTTTCATTTCCAGTTGAAAATTTTATAACCAAAGAAGTCCCCAGTCTTAGCTTTTAGACTGAGCCTCTTTATAAGAAACTAAGACATTTTTACATAAATCGTTCTGATATATGAACTACAATTCCTTACTTCAGGTATGTGAGTGGAAATTGGGTCATTTTTCAGGGTGTCATTATACTTTAAGTAAGATAAAACGTGAAAATGGAAAGTAACAATGGAACTACAGAACTACACATTAATGTGCTCCTCATTTGGGAAATGGGGATAACAATTATCTGACTTACAGGATTGTAACAAAAGTTTTGTCCAAATATTATTCAATTGCTTAATTTGTATTTGTTGATCTCATTCATGATTATATTCACCTTTGTACATGTTAAAATATTTGTATAACAGAATACCTGCATGCAAAGTTAGTGGTGATGAAATGGGTCATTTTAATGGCAATGACAGTAGTGGGAAGTGGGGGGTTAAAAGAGAGTAAAGGAGGGTAACTATTATTGGTATACTTTCTATAAATGTATGAACATGGAACATTGAAACCTTCTGAAATCAGAAAAAGAATGCGTAGGAGGGAGAATAATGCAGGGGATGAACAATTTGGGATACAAACATGTGTGGCTGGAAATGTTACAGTGAAACTCCTTGTATAACTATCATAAATTGGAAAAATGTACTTGCAATAACAAAAGCAAGGTAAAACATTTCCTGTCTGAGGGTGGGTATCATAAGGAGGGGGGAGGGCATAAGGAAAAATTGAAGGAGGACAAATGTGGTAGAAGTATTATATATTCATTTATGAAAATACAGCAATGAAACCTTTCACATTGTTCTAAAAAGTGGGAGAGGAGAGATAAAGGAGAAAGATGGAGGGGTGAATCCACTGAAGATATATTGTAAGCACATATATAAAGGTCACAATGACCCCCCTTACAACTAAAATATGCTAATAAAAAAGAGAAAAATTCTTGATGGTATTTTATAAACCAGAGTTGAGAATCACTGCTTTAGAACATGTCCTGACTTTGAGAAATAGTGCATTATAATTACAAGTTATTATTTTTAACAAAACTGAACACCATTTTTAACATAAAAATTTGGATATAATTTATAATATATAATGAAGTTTTAAAAAGTAGAATAATAATAGTAATTATTATAGAAGTTGAAATTTGATCAAAGTCCATTACATTCTTTATATAACTAGCACAACAAAACCTTTTGTAATTGATATTTACTTATAAAATTTAAAAATAATCTCAATTATCACCAGTGAAATTCAAGTTATTAGTATCACACTATGATTTTATTCTTGTGCATATTACATCCCCCAAAGGCTGTGTTGTCATAACTGAAGAATAGATTTTTACTGACAATACCCACATGAAGATGGATTTGTGCATCAATAAAGAATTTCTTACGATCTTAGACAAAATTTACCAAAAGATCCTCCAAGTACTACAGAACACAACTGTTATTGTTTTGAAACATACTAGTTTACCTCAGCAACAGTTTTTATATCTCTGTGAGCTATATCCATCCACTTTAAATACTTTTATTCATATCATTACCTAAGAGGGTGACAAGTATTTGTCTTGCAAATTTATAATGAAAATTCATTCAAAAATATTGTGCCTTTCTTCATTTCAAACAAGTGATATTCTCCATATAATATGTTATTATATAGAATTCAAATTTACCAAACATAATGCAAACTTACTTTTATTATTAATCAATAATTAATTTCCCAAGAAGTCAGTCATAATCATCTAACTCCTCTCATTCTTGAGATATGTCATGAAAATATGACTTCATTATATCTAGTAATAATGTGTTTATGTTAAAACAGCATGGTACTGGCACAAAAACAGACATGAAGACCAGTGGAACAGAATAGAGGACCCAGATATGAAGCTACACAACTACAACCAACTTATCTTTGAAAAGGAGCTAAAAATATACGATGGAGAAATAGCAGCCTCTTCAACAAAAACTGCTGGGAAAACTGGTTAGCAGTCTGCAAAAAACTGAAACTAGATCCATGTATATCACCCTATACAAAGATTAAATCAAAATGGATCAAGGATCTTAATATCAGACCCCAAACTCTTAAGTTGATACAGGAAAGAGTAGGAAATACTCTGGAGTTAGTAAGTATAGGTAAGAACTTTCTCAATGAAACCCCAGCAGCACAGCAACTAAGAGATAACATAGATAAATGGGAACTCATGAAGCTAAAAAGCTTCTGTTCATCAAAAGAAATGGTTTCTAAACTGAAGAGAACACCCACAAAGTGGGAGAAAATATTTGCCAACTATACATCAAACAAAGGACTGATAACCAGAATATATAGGGAACTTAAAAAACTAAATTCTCCCAAAATTAATGAACCAATAGAGAAATGGGCACGTGAACTAAACAGAACTTTCTCAAAAGAAGAAATTCAAATGGCCAGAAAACACATGAAAAAATGCTCACCATCTCTAGCAATAAAAGAAATGCAAATTAAAACCACACTAAGATTCCACCTCACCCCTGTTAGACTAGCCATCATCAGCAACACCAGCAACAACAGGTGTTGGTGAGGATGTGGGGAAAAAGGAACCCTCTTACACTGTTGGTGGGAATGTAAACTAGTACAACCACTCTGGAAAAAAATTTGGAGACTACTTAAAAAGCTAGACATCGATCTACCATTTGATCCAGTAATACCACTCTTGGGGATATACCCAAAAGACTGTTACTCCAGAGGCACCTGCACACCCATGTTTACTGTGGCACTATTCACAATAGCCAAGTTATGGAAACAGCCAAGATGCCCCACCACTGACGAATGGATTAAGAAAATGTAGTATCTATACACAATGGAATTCTATGCAGCCATGAAGAAGAACAAAATGTTATCATTCGCTAGTAAATGGATGGAATTGGAGAACATCATTCTGAGTGAGGTTAGCCTGGCCCAAAAGACCAAAAATCGTATGTTCTCCCTCATATGTGGACATCAGATCAAGGGTAAACACAACAAGGGGATTGGACTATGAGCACATGATAAAAGTGAGAGCACACAAAGGAGGGGTGAGGATAGGTAAGACACCTAAAAAATTAGCTAGCATTTGTTGCCCTCAACGCAGAGAAACTAAAGCAGATATCTTAAAAGCAACTGAGGCTAATAGGAAAAGGGGAACAGGTACTAGAGAAAAGGTTAGTTCAAGAAGAATTAACCTAGAAGGTAACACCCATGCACAGGAAATCAATGTGAGTCAATGCCCTGTATAGCTATCCTTACCTCAACCAGCAAAAACCCTTGTTCCTTCCTATTATTGCTTATATTCTCTCTACAACAAAATTAGAAATAAGGGCAAAATAGTTTCTGCTGGGTATTGGGGGGGATGGAGTGGGCGGATGGGTGGTAAGGGAGGGGTGGGGGCAGGGGGAGAAATGAACCAAGCTTTGTATGCACATATGAATAATAAAAGAAAAAGGAAAAAAAATAATGTGTTTATGTTAACACACCAGTAACTTGTACCAGGACAGATATATTCATTCATCTCAACTTGAGGAGACAATACAATTGGATGAATGTCATAAATTCAACAAGGCTGCCCTTTGTCATTAACCTGCTATGATATGCAGATTACATGTAAATCTCTCCAACACTCTATGCTCATGCTACTTTATGGAAATATCTAAATGACAAGTGTATTGCCCAGGGGAA